AGAGTTGAGCTCCAACCCTAATTAAACACACCTGAACCAGCTAATCAAGCTCTTATTAGGCATAGAAACTTCCAGCAGGTGTGTTGAGGCAAGTTGGAGCTAAACTCTGCAGGACACCGGCCCTCCAGGACCGAGTTTGGACAGCCCTGGTTAAAAACAACTGTGGCACAAACGACACACACACACACACACACACATATATATATATATATATGTGTGTGTGTGTGTGTGTGTATATCCATAAAAGTTACTGTAATTTAATTATGAGAATTAAATTTTTTTATATAATGTAATTACAAGTACTTAATTTTTGGAATTACGTAACTCTGCAGGACACCGGCCCTCCAGGACCGAGTTTGGACAGCCCTGGTTAAAAACAACTGTGGCACAAACGACACACACACACACACACATATATATGTGTGTGTGTGTGTGTGTGTGTATATCCATAAAAAGTTACTGTAATTTAATTATGAGAATTAAACATTTTTATATAATGTAATTACAAGTACTTAATTTTTGGAATTACGTAATCCAGATTACATGTATTTCCAGCTCTATTACAATTTATATACTATAGACAGTGTATACACACACAGACACACTCACACACACACACACATATATATATATATATATATATATATATATACACATACAATTTATTTTTTGTTTCGTTTTTGCATTACAGTTTGACAATTGCGGAATTGTCTCGAAGAAAAATTACTTAATGGTTCTAAAAAAAAAAGAAAAGACATAATTTTCTTCGAGCAAAAGTAATGTGACAAATGCAATGCAGTCTTTCTTTTCCGGTTTTCCAGGGTAAAATACGAGATGCCCTTAACAGGTTTTGTGCAATTCACCCTCATAGATGACTAATAATATAACTGATAATTTCCTTGTTGTCTAAATGCGGAATCAACCTGCATTTAATGAAGGCTGAATAATCTAGATTTACGAAACACAACATCATGATGCACAGTCACGGAAAGTGCTTGAGATCACACACCCTCACTCGCACCAGTCAATACTTTCTCCCAGTTTCAAAATGTTCTATGTACTTTTTACACAATTTTTATATGAGTCATGACTAAATTTCACAATCCAGTGAAGCAGGATAATGTGTGCATAATATGTGAATCTATGCATAATAAAAATATTTCAAACCATATCAACGACTCACCCAAACATTCTGGTTCTCTATTTAATCAATTAATACATACATTCTTACATCAAATCCACACTAACACAACACATGAAAAAATTACTATTGAATATAATGGCACACAATTAGTTTTGTATTTTAACATACTGGCCCGTGCATTTTGATTAATAAAACTTTTGCAATCAGCAAAATTATAAAATATTTGAAGTTCCTATTCAATATAGCAATGCTGTGGTGAGAATCCGGATTAAACTATGGACCCACATGACAACAATTAAATGTAATACAACATTAATCAACAGAATGGATTATGACAATCATTTTGTTTTAAGATTGTGATGTTAGGGTACTTTATAATGTAATATGACACCGAAAAGTGCTGTTTAACAAAACAGTAGTGAGATCAGCCAGATCTACATCCATTAACGTACAGTACAGACATCAGTACAGACATACAGTACAGACATCAGTACAGACATACAGTATAGACATCAGTACAGACATACAGTACAGACATCAGTACAGACATACAGTATAGACATCAGTACAGACATCAGTACAGACATACAGTACAGACATAAGTACAGACATACAGTACAGACATACAGTACAGACATCAGCACAGACATCAGTACAGACATACAGTACAGACATCAGTACAGACATACAGTATAGACATCAGTACAGACATCAGTACAGACATACAGTACAGACATAAGTACAGACATACAGTACAGACATACAGTACAGACATCAGCACAGACATACAGTACAGACATCAGTACAGACATACAGTACAGACATACAGTACAGACATCTACAGACATACAGTACAGACATCAGTACAGACATCATACAGTACATACAGTACAGACATCAGTACAGACATACAGTACAGACATCAGCACAGACATACAGTACAGACATACAGTACAGACATCAGCACAGACATCAGTACAGACATCAGTACAGACATCAGTACAGACATCAGTACAGACATACAGTACAGACATCAGTACAGACATCAGCACAGACATCAGCACAGGCAACACCACCAGGGACTGACTGCAGAATCTCACCAAAACACGCCCAGGTCATATTTCACCCCAATAAAGCAAAAGAAAACTAAAAAAACAGGGAATTAAAAATTGCACATAGAAAATTACATTTTGGCAGGTTTCATGATTTACAATTCTCATTAGCATGATGCAAAAAAGCGTATGTTTTAAAAATGTTAAGTATTTATTAGTGCTGTCAAACGATTAATCGAATCCAAAATAAAAGTTTTTGTTTACATAATACTTGTATGTGTGCTGTGTATATTTATTATGTATATATAAATACAAACACAAGCACGTATATATTTCAGAAAAATATGTTATGTTTATAAATATATTTATAATATAAATGGTAAAAATATAAATACAGACTAATATAATATTTTCTAAATATATACTGTATGTGTGTGTATTTATATATACATAATAAACGTACACAGAACACACATATATTATGCAAACAAAAACTTTTATTTTGTATGCGATTAATCGTTTGACAGCACTAATATTTACACATCATCACTTAGAGAAACTAAATAGCAAAGTCCTAAAAGGAAACATTTTCCTTATACAAAATGTAATGCTTTAGGGTGAAATGTGGCCTGAAATTGTTGTCGAGCGATTTAAAATCATGTTTTCTTGTTTTTCTTACATGATGGTTTAACAAAGATATCACGAAGTGTAAATCTCATTTACAGTGGAGCGAACAATCTAGACAACGTGCAAAGAAGTCATTCAGTGCAACCTGTAACATGTAAGGCAGCACAGTGTTAAAAACGCTCAAGGTTATATAGCTCTGATTTCTAAGTGTCATAAATAAAGGTAAAGTAATTAAACCCTTCAATACAACACAAAAAACTTTAAAGTGGTCTCTTATTTTCCTAGCTTCTATGGTTTAATGCAAGAGCTTAGACTGGTCAGTATCTCATTTGGTTTTTGGTTTGTTATAGTTACTTTTTAAGGGAGTAACGCAATATTGTAATGCGTTACTTTTAAAAGTAACTTTGGTGATAAACAAGTTAGGTCAGAAGTAATGTAAAAGTAGTCCGATTATAGTACCTAAAATGTGTAATGTAACAGATTACGTTACAAACTACAATTTTTGTCATGCATTTTGGAATCAGTAACGGATTACAATTTGTAAGTAATCGTTACTTTTAAAAGTATCACCTCTGAGTGTGTGTCTCTGCGGTGTTCACGCGCGGTGTTCTCAGTGCGATGGGAGTCTGTGAGGATGGACACACGGCAAATCCTGCGACTCTTGATCGGTTTATCGGGCTTGAACGGAGCGTGTGATGGTAAGTATGAGGGGGTTGTTTATTGCAGCAGTGTTTTGTTTACAGCCGGGTGTCGGTTCGGTTCGTTTAAGGTGTTTTAGTCGCTGAACGTTAGCCGTTTTTAATACAACAACAACATGGCGCTGGGATTTAACGACTAGCCCCATAAACTCTCTGCCTTTTCGCTGACTTGCTCTCAGTATGTCTGAAACATTAATGTACGGTGTGCTTGAAGTTATATTTTATATACGTGCTGTTTAAATAACAGTAATGAAGCAGGATGACCGTGTTTATGATAGAAACTCAAAGGGCTAGCATGCTAACAGGCTAACTCGGTTTAATATGAGGCTGTGAATTCGGTTAAAAGCTTCAGACCAACTAAAGTGATCAAATGCCCTGCGTTTAACCTTTTATAAGTCTGAATATGGTTTATTATGGTTTTCACATTTGACATTCATTTGGGTTTAGTTCTCTTTAAAAGCTGCTTTCATTGAGCTGTTGCACATTTGCTGTAGTATACTTCTCCTCGTTTTTGTGTACGTTTATCATTTTGTGTATTTGTTTTTGTGTCTAGGAAGTAATATGAGAGGCTTTATATTTTACATGAGCACCGCATCAGTTACAGTAAACAAATGCAGATTAGGGATATGCCGGGATCACATTTTCATGTTGCGATTAATTGCTAATGTTTTTATCACGGTATGCGGTATTATCACGATATTGAAATTGTTTAAAAAAAAATAAAGTGCTGTCATAATACAGTATAACAGGTTTAATAACTTTTTTCTTAAAACAAAAATAACTGAACATTTAAATGCAATAAAGCAATACAGAAACATGTATAAAGTCAAAAGTTGTACACAGATTAAAGAGCAAAATAAACCTTTACAATAAGACCTCATTAGTTAGCCTTAGTTAATGCATTAACATTCACAATAGCTACATTTGCTACAGAAGTTATTACTCTGTTAAAAAAATACAAGTCTTTGTTCATGTTAGCTCATTAAATAAATAACACAGTTGCAGCTTTCGATTTTAACAACGTGTTATTAAATATTGTAATTACCTAAGATTAATGAATGTTCAGAAGAATTTTTCATTGGCCGTTTATGTTAACTAATGAAGAATCAAAACACTTTCAAACTATATCTAAGGCATGTTGTAGTCCAGATTAAAATGTAAAAAAAAGTTTGGCAGCATACAGCGCTGTTGACCAGCTGATGGGAAAAGTATTCTTAAAATGAATTCAAAATTCGGAATAATTTGTAATTATACACGGTATTTAGAAGTGCCCACGATAACGATATCGTGCATATTCATTACCGTGATATATCGCATTACCGAATACCGGCACAAGTCTAATGCAGATTCAGTAAACAGAAAATGGGTTTATTTGGATCCTGGCGGACTGTTTTATTGAAACTTATTTATTTGAGTCTGAATATGATTTTTAACAGTCAGAAGAGCCTATATAAACACATCTGTATTGGCTGACCTGTTGCACATTAACACGGGTGTAAGTTCCTCCAAATGTTTACTGTTATTTTTGTTATTAATATTAGGTTTACGCGTTATATTTAGCTAAGCAGTAGAAAGGAGCTCTCAGTTCACTATAAGTACAGTGGAAAATCAAGTAAATGGATGCTCTCAGTATGAAATAACATGTTAATGTCAGGACAGAAGGAAGGTGTGTGGTCTGCAGATCGAAGTATAGGTCTGCAGCTTTCCTTTGAGTGATGATATGGTTTTGAGTAACAATAACCTCTGAGTGCAGGTTATGATAATGGCTGGGTGTTTTGTGGGTTAAATCTCAGTTCTTTGTGAAGAACGGACAAAATAAGGATATGACCGAAGAGTGACCCCATTTCTCTTATATATATGTCTGTCTGGCTCTTTCTCTCCGCATCATATAGAAATACAGCATGTCTTTGTTAGTGTTTGGTTTGATATGGGGGTAACTCATAGCCAAGGGGTTTTTCTTTGTTCCTGTGAAGGTTTCTTCTTAACCCGCTGTAAAAAGGCCCTTAATGTTTTCTGCATATTAAAGACTTGACAGGCTTGGACATGCACTCTAGTTTAAGAGCTCTGCATTTCCCCCCAAGGTTCAATAAAGTGCATCTATCTGTCTGTTGATTAATATGTCTATTTTCTGGGTTTCTTCTGCGAGGCGTATTTGGAGTTTCTCTGGCCTTCGGATGGAGATTTACTGCTGATCACAGAACCGTGCTTCACTGAAAGATACGCATGACAATCGCAGCTTCTGTCGAATCGCGATCTCGATTCCATTTCGATGTATCGTGCAGCCCTAGTGTGACCTTTAGCTTTGTGGAATTATGCTACATAAAACATCTGCACGAAACGGAAACAGCAGACGGGCTGAATGAGGCGCAGATTCACTCTCTGACAGCAGGTGGCGCTTACGGAGCAGCAGCGATACAGCGTTTCCTTTGTTACCGCTTTAAACAAAGCAGCACTGCACTTAACAGTACTTTAATATGCATTATATGGAGGTAAGATGAAAAGAAAATACCATCTAAACCAGAGGTTCTCAACTCTGGCCCTCGAGATCCACTTTCTCCTGCAGAGTTTAGCTCCAACCTTGATCAAATTCACCGGTCTGTAACTTTCTAGCAAATCTGAAGATGTTGATTAGCTTGTTCAGGTGTGTTTGATTAGGGTTGGAGCTAAACTCTGCAGGAAAATGGACCTCGAGGGCCAGAGTTGAGAACCACTGATCTAAACTTTCCTGAAGACTGTCAGTTCCCCTCAGAGATACATTCATATAAACCTGTGTTTCTTACCATTTCTTCATAATTAATTTGCTAGCAATTTCTGAGTGAAAACTGTTTCTAAACCAAACTTATTCCGTGTACTGTTGCTCACCCAGTTTTGCAACAGCATGGATAACATTAGTAATCCTCAGATAGCAGCTAATGCTTTTTCCACCTTGACTTACAACAGAGTAAACAGAGATTGTGTGTCATATTTAATGAGAGCAGTGAAAAGCTTATCTGAACACACGACTGAAGCGTGAGAGGGATTACACCGCTTCAGATACAAAACATTAATGAGCAAATCTCAAAAATGCAGGGTACAGAATTATTTTTGCCTCATCTGCCAATGGCAGTGAATTGATTAATGTAAATATGTATAATGCAATTAGCATTTTATTGAATAAGCTGTGTATTTGTAAAATGTAACTATTTAGTTTTATCCTTGTTTTGTGGTGTACAATACAGGTCATTGTGTCATGCGCAGCATCTAATCTAACCTCCTAAAGCTAAGAAAACCCCTAGTTATAATTTTAAATCAAAATGTAAGTTTCTTTGTTGCAGCCAGTTTTTGTTAATATTTAGAATTAGATTTTATTTTTATATTTTCAGTTTTTTTTAAGGTAGTTTTAGTAATTATTTTAATTAAGGTTGTTTTAGTAATTTTGTTGCATGTTTTTAATTTCTATTTTTATTAGTTAATTTCATGTCTATTAGGGCTGCACGATTATGACAAAAATCATAATTGTCAATTATTCCCTTAAAATTGTAATTGCAATTATTACGATTATCAATTTATATTTAATGCTGTTACCATTGTTTGAAGCAACTGCATGCCATATTTTTATATGAAAATCAACAAGCTGAAAACACTCAAATGTCAACAATATATTGGTTTGGTTTCTTCTTTAAATAAAAATAAAAGGCAAAATGTGCATGATTTTATAATGTTTTCCTAAAACTAAAATGAAAACAATGGGGAAAAACCCATAAGATAACCTGCAGAAAGAAAAAAATTAAGCATGCTGAATAATGCAAGTGGACTTTTTAATGTAATTGTGCCTTTGAATTATTACGTAATTGTGGCATATGTAATTGTAATCACGCTTTGATTAATTGTGCAGCCCTAATGTCTATATAGTTTTTAATTTTTTAATTGTAGTTAGTACTTCAGCTTGAAATAAATGAAAATTAGAAATGTTTCCTTGGCAATTAGCTGAAATAAAATATAAAAATTTTTTTTTCATTTCAGTTCAGTTAATGTTTATTTTATTACACATAATAAAAATGCTTTTTAGTGGTTTTGCTCAACTATCTGCTGACCATTATTTTCACATAGCGTTTTAAACCACACATTATCTTGTAGCCCCTAATAAAATCACTGACAAGTAACAAGTTTTGTTTACTCAAACTCACTTTTGTCACATGTTGAGGTTTAATTTTAGGCCCTCCATGTATGTAATAAATATTTTTAATGTCTTAAAGACACATTTGACATTTTATTTTTAAATGTATACGGTTCCTAACATCATATTATTGTAATCTTACCAAATGTCTTGTAAAATACCCTTTAAAAGAGTTAAGTTTTCCGTTGTACCTTCAGTTAATTAGATGATTTTGTTAATGATTATTTTAGTCGTAGTTGTATTTTACACAGAAGTTTAACAGTTTGTACTCTTCACAGTTGAGAGATTTCAGCTTTTTTCTCAGTGTGTGTTGGATTGAGACTCAGGTGTATAAATTACGCCAAATAAGTAAGTGTTAGTCAGTTCGAAACTGTCATTGGCAGAAGCAGGAAGATGTGGTTTGCGTCTGAAAGTCATTCGAGTTTCAGTGTCTTACGTTATAAAAAGCAAATCTGTCATCACTGATAGCTCACCATTGCCACAGTCACCTGTCAGATCTCAGACTAGTAATTAATTCACATGTGATATTTGTAAATAAAATAATTCAGTTCTACAAGGAAAATAAAGTTGCTTGTTGTTTTGCAGTAGGATAAAAATAAGCAAAGAATGTCCGTGAACTTGAATGCTTGTGACATTACAGTACATCGGGCACTTCCAGTATAGACAACTTTTTCTTTTTTTTTTTTAATTATTTTAATGAGAACAACAAATCTTTTGTTGTTGACAACAAAATAATTTTTGCTTTGCATCACTCTAACCTGACTGAGTTGTTTTTGCATAGAGGACATTATCTTCAGCTCACCAGCCAAAGCCATTAGCTGGTTGTAGATGAGCAGGTTTAAAGGCTAGAGCAGAGCCAGTTTGACTGGTCCAGAACCGCCTTTCTTTGGTGGAAATGTCTGCAACTGGGCTAGATTTTTTTCTATCATTAAAACACTTAGTAAGAGTGATTCTCAGGGAGGTTACTACAGAGAAAACCACTTTTCTCTATAAATAAGTAGTATTACTGCATGTCCATTTACTTGAGACCACCTGCATGTTTCATAGCTCTATGTTCTTTAGATAGAAAAGGCAACATTTCTTGGTTAATCAAACACTGCTTGGCTGCACCAAAATCCCAATAGTAAAATGTGATGGAAGAGTTTGTTTAGGCCAGTGTTACTGTCTCAGGACTTGGGCAGCATTGCAGGCATTGAGACCAGTTAATTCACTGTTGCTCAATTGAAAATTTATACGATGCATTATGCAGTGGTGCAATTTATGTACAATATTTTTCCCTCCAGAATATTACATTTTTTGTGGCATAAAAACTGATTTATTGTCAGCTGAACATTGTCAACCAGAACTAGGCTGACAACATGTACAACATGCACCAGTCACCAATGGTGTGAAGTGTGAACGGCTTTAGACTCCATGTTTGTATCTCAATCATACCTTTTTAATGCTTTGCAATCATACAGTGAGCTGAAAGGAGTACATTGTGAAATGTTATAGCCGTTGAGTTTTTGAGTTAAAAGCATGAGCTTAGTTTAGATTTTTGCCACGCTAAAACCGTCATATGACGGCATATGATATTTGTGTCTGGTATAGTTTAGAAACAGCGTGACTTCTCTTGCTTTTCATGGAGCTGTGTGTAGTTTGTTGACAGTGTAACCACATTGTTAATCTAGAATCATTTTTTGAATCAATCATCTGTAACTTTACATGAATGCGAGTGCATATTCATTCCCTGGTTCCTGCGTGTCTAATGTTCTGTCCCGAGCTGTTTGTGACTGCATTCAGACAGACCTACGAGTCTCGCTGTGTTTTGCACGTGTGGGTGTTTGCTCGAAAATTATTTAACTGTCCTTTGAATACAAAATGAAGACTCATACTTACGGCTGGGCAATATGGCCAAAACAATTATCACGATAAAAATGATTGTATCCATCGATATCGATAATTATCACTGTACATTTCAGATCTTTATTTCTTTCAAGTTTAAAGGCAGGGTTTTGCTCCCATTTGTGTCTGGTATAGTTTAGAAACAGCGTGACTTCTCTTGCTTTTCATGGAGCTGTGTGTAGTTTGTTGACAGTGTAACCACATTGTTAATCTAGAATCATTTTTTGAATCAATCATCTGTAACTTTACATGAATGCGAGTGCATATTCATTCCCTGGTTCCTGCGTGTCTAATGTTCTGTCCCGAGCTGTTTGTGACTGCATTCAGACAGACCTACGAGTCTCGCTGTGTTTTGCACGTGTGGGTGTTTGCTCGAAAATTATTTAACTGTCCTTTGAATACAAAATGAAGACTCATACTTACGGCTGGGCAATATGGCCAAAACAATTATCACGATAAAAATGATTGTATCCATCGATATCGATAATTATCACTGTACATTTCAGATCTTTATTTCTTTCAAGTTTAAAGGCAGGTTTTTGCTCCTAAGTGAAAGTTGTAGAAACCAAACCATTTAACTGTGGTGTTGAACTACACTTTAAGGTCAGAACATGACAAACGCTTCACGTTTTTTGAATTCTTTACACTTTTCCAGTCATTTTTCCTTAACAAAATAAATATCTTAATGGAAAAATTATTGTCTTAGTTTCTGCATTTTCTAATGAGTGAGACTGTTTCACATCATGAAACGGGATTGTGTTGGCTGACTTTGATGCGTATCTTCAGCACAGTTTCCAGTGCAGGCTGCAATATTATATATATATGTCTCTTAGAAATGCACATTATATTCTGTTACTCCTTTAGTACATTTAATACATGTCTACATTAAAAATATAATAATATTCAATGATGGTGATTTGTAGATTGAAAAGTTCTCCTGTTTGTCAGCACTGTTTCATCTGGCTTTAAACTAGTTTAAATCAGTGAATTATTTGTGTTCTTCGCTGAATTCAAGTGCTTCACACTGGCTCTCATGGCAATGTTTAGTGGTCATATGATCAGCGAGTAACGCATCTGCTGTAGTGAGCTTGAGCCGAGCGGATAAATGCTCCGTGTGGTGCGCTTCAAATGAGTAGCGCTGTTTCCTTCCACTTTTGGCGCATAAACATTATATCAAACTCATGTTATCGTTTTATAGAGAAATTATGTCGCGATAATTATTGTTATCGTTTAATCACCCAGCCCTACTTACACTATTAAAAGCCTTGTGAGTTTGCATGGGTCGACACAAAACCTCTATCAGACCCTTTTGGGGAACGATACTGTTCGCAAGAATCAGACAAATCCAAGTTCACTACCTCTAAAATTCCTAATTATTCCCCCAAGGGCCGTATGGTTAAAGAACAGCTAGAAATTAGACTGGCTAATATTCCCATCTGGATTTGAATGTTTCCTGTTATTAACCTGTCGAGTCCCGATGTTGTTTTCCATATTGCCAAATGCTATTGCATCATATTTAATAGCAATTAGAGCAAAAGCTGTACTATGAGGACCAAGGACTTATTTATTCATTGCAGATCATTTAATTTAAGAAACCATTAACAAACACATTTTATATTCTACTGTGTAGAGAAGGTCCCAAGACCTGCCTTCATGACTTTAAATTACTAACACTGAGGTAACGGAGACATAGTGTCTAATATTTACTAAACATGTTGTTTATGGGTGTTTTGTTGTTGTTTGTTTGTTAAATAATATGAGATGTGGTATATAAAACCTTTCAAACAGCAGGATGCTAGATTGTTTTCACATGACTTCACTATGGTGCATGTTTAATTCAGCATGCGACGTCTAGTCTAGAAAATAAAAAGGTTCATTGTTAATCTAATTTTGGCTACCATGAAAAATTATATTAAGGGGAGGAAAATATAAAGATGTTTCATGTTGTCTTATACTGCATTCCAACAAGGAAACAAATTTGGGACTTTATTTTATCAATCAGGAAATGATCGGACCCGACCCGACCGGAGTGCTTTCCATACCACCATGATCACTAGGGCTGGGTAAAAAAAATATCGATATCTCGATTATAATCGATTCTCATTTTTACGAAACGATATCGATTCTTAAATCCCGAAAATCGACTAGAAAATTAGATATAACGGCTTGTAAACAATGTCACGTAACGCCACATTTACCTCCGAAAAAAACACATTCAGTGACCGTAAACTCATTAGTCAGCTAGAAAAATGGAGAGGAGCATTTTGCTAAATATATGCACCGTATAATATATTTATAACTTTTACTGTTCTTCAATGTTTTTTTGTTTTTTTATGGCAGCCACCATTTAAATGTTTATATTTATTAAAAAAAAATGAATTGAAGTAGAAATATTATGTAATTGTAATTTTTATTATAAAAACTTCATTAAGTGTAATTTAAGCAGTTGTATCGCCAAAAAAATCAGACGTGCTGACTCACATTTCAAATGGTTTTTAACGGTCGTTTGATCGTTTGTCCAGTGTAGGCAGACTTTATCTGTTGTAGACACGGTGCTACTCACCTACTGGGAAGAAGCAACGCAACCTCGGCGTCCGATCGCAGGCCTCCGCTCCTTGAGTTCTCTCCAGCGCTGGAAATCTGATCCGATATTTACGCGAGTCCTACCTGATCCGATATTTACACGAGTCCTACTTCTTGCCTTATCGTTCCGCAGACGTTTTCCTCTTTTGTTTTTTGTCCGCCATCTCTATCTTTCAGTCGCTCGGCTCGGCTAATGTCCGTCCCGTGCACTGAACTCTCTCTCCTCCACATCACGAGAAGACACGCCCGTTACTGCTGATTGGCTGCAAGTTTGTTTTGCGATTCGGCCCGAATCAGTTTTCTAAAGTGTTTTTGAAAAATCACTTACTCTGCCTTTAAGTGATTTTTTTTTTCCTTCAGAAAATTTTGCATGTGTACCAGATATATATCCAAAATAATCAATAATGAATCGCATCAACTTGGGAATCGGATCGAATCGAATCGCAAGCTTGTGAATGAGAATCGAATCGAATCGTGAAATTTGTGTCAAAACCTAGCCCTAATGATCACCCTCAGAAACATATTGTCTTGCAAGCCGATAATGAAAGTTGTTTTAGAGGCATTCAGATGAGATTATAGAGAAGATTTTATTAAAAATATAAAAGTAATCAATTGTGTCCATTGTTTATAAATGGTACATAATATAATTATAATTTATGCAGTTGTAATCTATATAAAAATGACATTCTAAAACAAAATAAATGTGATGCTGCTTGGTGCACACAGTATATGACTCTGTGACTGATCTCTGTCACCCCCTGCTGTTGAAAAGACACAATTGCTGCTCCATCCACATCAATTCAATGGCCCGTCATCAATTATTTCTTACGTAATGTATATTATAGTGTTAATGTATACATGTAACATATATTTTTGATTCTCTCTGCAGCTCTTTTCTGTAACTGCACCGCACCACAGTGTGAGAAGGATGGGTATAAGTGCGAGACCAACGGGGCGTGTGTGGCCTCCACCTCCATCATTAAAGGACAGGAGCAGCATGTGCGGCTCTGCATCCAGAAAGAGGACCTGGTTCCTCCGGGCCAGCCGTTCTACTGCCTCAGCGCCGAGGGACTGATGAACACACACTGTTGCTACTCTGATTACTGCAACAGCATCGACCTCAGACTACCAACCGGTGAGCATCAGTATTTTAATCAATAGCAAAAACAATTAGTGAATTCCAGATGAGGAACTAATGCAGCGTGTTCTCTGTCAGTGACAAACGGCCCGGGTTCAGGGCAGGACTGGGGGCCGGTGGGGCTCACTGCAGTAGTGATGGGTCCGGTCTTTGTGCTGTGTGTGCTGGTTCTGCTGGGTCTCTTCCTCTTCCAGCACCACCAGCGGGCCTACGGTCACCGGCAGAGACTGGAGGTAGAGGATCCCAGCACTGAACACATGTTTCTGGCGAAGGACAAGACCTTACAGGACCTCATCTACGACCTCTCCACCTCGGGATCAGGGTCAGGTTAGTATCGCAGGAGAAAGTGTGCTAGATGGTTTGTTTATGCACGCATACAATAGTGTTATTTTAGTATTGTTTATGTACAATTATTTTTGTGTATATATATATATATATAATTTTTTTTATTTTTTTTCAGTTTTGAAGTTTAATTTGAGTTCAGTTTTTTTTAATGTATTTATGCTTTTTTGTTGTTTTAATATATATATTTTTTTTGTTCGTTAATTTTTTTTTTCTTCCAGTTAGTCATTTCCAGCGGGCCTACGGTCACCGGCAGAGACTGGAGGTAGAGGATCCCAGCACTGAACACATGTTTCTGGCGAAGGACAAGACCTTACAGGACCTCATCTACGACCTCTCCACCTCGGGATCAGGGTCAGGGTGCTGCAGGAGATCATCGGTAAAGGCCGCTTTGGGGAGGTGTGGAGGGGGAAGTGGAGAGGAGGAGACGTCGCTGTGAAGATCTTCTCCTCTCGTGAGGAGCGCTCCTGGTTTCGTGAAGCTGAAATCTACCAGACCATCATGCTCCGCCACGAGAACATCCTGGGATTCATTGCTGCCGACAACAAAGGTAACCTAATGTGCTTTGCACTGTACTGAGCAGTTTTATACAGTAGTATGCATAGTGTTGTCATCTAGGTTTAATAATGTTTAATTCTCTGTCACAGATAATGGCACATGGACTCAGTTGTGGTTGGTGTCAGACTATCATGAGAATGGATCCCTGTTCGACTATCTGAACCGATATTCAGTCACCATCGAGGGCATGATTAAACTAGCGCTGTCGGCTGCCAGCGGCCTGGCGCATCTGCACATGGAGATACTGGGCACTCAGGGTGAGTTTGTCCGTGTTATTCGATTTTTGTAAAATGGAATACTCCAAGTCAGATACACAAATTGTTATGTTTTGTTGACAGTAATGTGAACTAATCTTAATAAAAAATAAAAAAAAGGTTATTGGTTTGTATGTAAACCGGTAAAACAGGTCATTTTCGTCAGTAAGCTGATTTTTGGTATTTATCAGCATTCCTAAAGTGAATTGCCAGAAAAGTTAACTGAACACTCACAGTCGATTCCAGGAGAGTCTGACGTTAATGACTCTAATAAACACCGACATGGAGAGCACACAAATATTGGGTCGATAAACAATTTTTAATCAATACTTTTCAGAACAGATCGAATATTTTTAAAATAAAAGATTCCCTTGACTCCATCTGGAATGCATTCTGGGCTGGTCATATTTTTGAAGGATACGTGCAATGGTGACTTAAGACAGCCCACTGTTTGAAACAGTCGTGATGCCTAAAAATATTGTGTATGTGTGCGCTCATGAGGGTGTGGAACACTTTTCTTCTGTGGTCAGAGAGTTTATACCAGATGTGTGTGTAGCTGTAATGGTTTTGTTTTGGTCGGCAGGGAAGCCTGGCATCGCTCACCGTGACCTGAAGTCCAAGAACATCCTGGTGAAGAAAAACTGCACGTGTGCGATCGCTGATCTCGGCCTGGCGGTTCGTCACGAGTCTGTCTCCGACACCATCGATATCGCCCCCAACCAGCGTGTCGGCACTAAGAGGTACAGAGTACATTACTGACAGACCTAACAGCCAGGAAAAACACACATACAAACATAGACGTTACAATAATCTGATCTAAAACATCTGCTCATGTGGTCAGTGGTTTGTGTTTTCAAATATATGTTCTTTCAGTGATCCTGTGTGTGTGTGTGTTTCAGGTACATGGCACCTGAGGTTCTGGAAGAGACTATTAACATGCGTCACTTCGACTCGTTTAAATGCGCTGACATCTACGCTCTGGGACTCGTGTACTGGGAAATCGCTCGCCGCTGCAATGCTGGAGGTGCTGAAATAAATTGAAACCATGTTTCAAAAGGAATATTGAACAGAAAAGCACTTGAAGGTCTTCAAGTTAAAAGTTCAACTGAGAATAATTTTTGTTCTTATTTATGTTTTGTTTGCATTCAGGTATTCATGAAGAGTACCAGCTGCCCTACTATGACCTGGTGCCCTCTGACCCATCCATAGAGGAGATGAGGAAAGTGGTGTGTGATCAGAGGTTACGACCCAACATCCCCAACTGGTGGCAGAGCTATGAGGTGAGCGAGAGAGATCCTCTACAGCTGCTATACTGGACTTCTCTTCATTTTCATTTTTATCTGAAGTCCACTTAAAATAACCTGGTATATCTTTGCAAATATGGTGATTTCTGAACTGCCTGCTTTTGCTCTTTTATTTATATGTTCTTTTCAGATTAGGAAGGGAGTGTTGAGTTCTGAAAGATTAGATTTAAAAAAAAAAATTCTAATTTTTGGTGTTCCGTAAAAGACTTCAGTAAAATAAGTGCTTAAAACTTCAGAAAGTGTTGTTTGTCCACTTCATGAATAATTCATATTAATAATTAAAATATTAAATGAGCAATTTTATTTTTGCATTTTCTATTTTTACTAGCAATAAACAATTTTTTTTTTACATATTTATATTATATATAAAATATGTAGTTTAACTATTTAAATTTGTATATGTGTGTGTTATTAATAGTAAATATATAATTTTTACATTATATATATATATATATATACTATGTCATACCCGTGTTATTATACAAATTTGTGTCCTCATAAACCATATATATATATATATATATATATATACACACACACACAATTATTATTATTAATAACTTGTATTTTTGTGTCTTGTATATTTTTATATTTCCATGTCAATTAAAGAAATATTAGTTTGATCTTTTTTTTGGTGTGTAAAGTACAGGCTTTTTTTAAAGTTTGTTTTTCATAGCTAAACCGGTTTCTTGCCTCTCACTATAGCATTAAATGCACATTTTATTATAAATATAATATTTATAAATCTATATGATAGTTGTATATGTAAATGAAATGTGCATATGTAAATACATACATATACTGTGTATATATATATATATATATATATATATATCAACTTATATATTGTATTTGTATATCAAATAAATGTTTTTTTATATTTTTTCCTAAATAACTTAGTAACAGGATACAGGGATGAGTTTGACAACATTTCTTGATTTAGAAAATTTGATCAAACTTAATTGACATAAAATTATTGCTGCTTTGTCACTTAACAGTCATTTTATTTTGTTTGTGCAATTAGTGACTTAAAGGATCGTGACACCCTATTTGTCAGAAGTGCTACATTATTACATTAAAACAAAAAGCCTGTTGGCTCTGATATGAACTCGCATGGTAAATTGGCTCTTGTTCCCGCAGGCGTTGCGTGTGATGGGGAAGATCATGCGGGAGTGCTGGTACGCTAGCGGCGCTGCGCGACTGACGGCTCTCCGCATCAAGAAAACCCTGTCTCAGCTCAGCGTGGACGAAGACATGAAAATCTGAGCGAAACACTACCTTCTGCCAGAAACACTCCGAGCAAAGAGAACGTGTACAGACATGCGACCACTCGAAACTATCCTGCCAGTTCTAAAGTATTTCCGTCCACTGAATCGGGACGGGGCCTACCTCACCCCACCGCCAAAACTACTGAACCTACGGTACCCAACAGCCCTCTGCGCTCTCCTCCTCCTCCTCTCTACATCTACTACCGCCCAGCTCGCCAATCAAAATGCACATGTGACTTTATTGATTCTGTTCAAATCAGTTTCGCCCCAAAGATCATTTTTCCAACCAGCTCCGCTCATATGTAACCAGTTTTGACTGGCTTGGTGCATTCATTTAGATCAGTCTAGCAGACTACCTCGGTTAACTAAGTAGGTGGAATACACAAACTCCAGTTCAGAGGCGATAACAGGCAGGTTAAGCTGGAAAAGTCACGCGGTGATTTGGTGCAAGATGGCACTGCTAGCGACCGACACGATCAGCTGATTCCTTTCATTACCACGTCAAAGCTGTTAGCAAAACAACCTTATTTGCACTTTATCCCAGAGGTTTTGTGAGCGTGACGTGGATTCATCTTGGTTTTGGAATCACACACTGGCACACGCGTCTATTCCTACTACTGAACGGTACGGAGATATCTATTTATTTTAGCTTGTAGATCCTTCATATTGTCCTTATTTTTTTATCACCGTTAGATGTCCTCCTCTCCTCCATGGGCAAACAAAGCTACTGTACATAGTATATTTTTTAAAAGTATGGAAATGTAAATAGCTTACCCTTTTTTTTTAAATTTCCAAGCCCTTCAACTAAGCTAAAGGTTTAATCGTGTTTTGACATCCAGGAACATCAGAGATGTGAAGCTGTACGGGTTAGCGGTGGTGAAATTACAGGCTTTTGTTAAATTTAGTTTTTATAGTTAAACCTGTTTGTTGCTTTTGACTGTAGCATTAAATGACACTAAAAGGATGCACATTTTATTAGCTGAGGAGTGTTTGGGATTGTTTTGTATGGACTTTAAGATCTTGTTTTTAAGGAATAATTCATGCAAACATAAGAATACTCATTTATTTTTAATGTAAAACACAGAAGGAGATATTGAGAAGAATGTGCAAGCTGCACTCAAAATTGTTTTGAAAACTCCCCATAAAGGATCAGTATGACTTTATGCCATGTTCAGAGTCATCTGAATTCATATGAACTACATCTATGATACTTTTTAGTCATTTTTTTTTTTAGCTTGATGCACAGAATTCATGCAATTTAATTGTAAATCAAAAGGTTGCATGAACTTGTCCAATGCTAGAAAGAAAGTAATGCAGGTTTGAAGCAGCCTGAGGGTGAATAATGACAGGATTTTAGGATTTTTGCATGTGAAGGGAAGTTGCGTCGTGATTCTAGGAAATCGATCTGTTTCTTCTTCATGCACTGGGTCTGTAATGAGAAGAACGACTTGAAAATATAACTTGACTTGAAAAGTTTGGCGTCGAAGCGCACCGCTTTACTCCTGTTACACTGTATTTATGACTCCTGACAGACATTACGTCTCTCTCATACTCCATGGATAAATACTACTGCCCTTCTGTCCCTCTCCGCTTAATATGCAAGATGTAAATATAGTTTCTATAATGTATGACCTTTTTTATTAATCCGATTTAATTCAGTAGACAGTTGTGTGGTTTTGTTTTTTAATGTGTTTTCATTCAGGTTTATTTGTATAGCGCTTTTAACAGTAGGTTTTGAAGCAGCTGTACAGGGGTTTTAGTCTGTGCTCTTTTATTTGATTTTTGATTTGATGTCTAGAGTCTGTGTTTTGACAATCTGAATAAGTACCGTTATTCTCCTTCGTCCATTTGCAACAATTCAGTCACCTTACACTATTAAAATGTCCAGAAAAAGCCAAAAGTGATTGCATATTAGTTGGAAGAACATGTTAATGCTTTCATCTATTTTCATGTTATTTAGATCCAGAATGACAAGCTATCATGTGAAATGTTTGTAACACTGGATTGACACTACTGAGAAATATAAGACGACACTGGCACGTCGGCTGCTGATTGAGAAATCTGTCCGTATCTTATGGGAAATCTTCTTGAATTGGGAATGAGGTCTGGTTTGATCTGTATTTGTTTCTACTGTTGAGTTCAGTTTGTACACACGTTTCTAGTTTCCAGAAAGCGTGTTGTTGCTGGCAGGATTTGGGCTTCATAAACATCTGCTCCCTCTCATCCACTTGCTGAAGTGAGACGTCTGTCGCCTGGCTGATTATAACAGCTAAACGGTGGCGACAGTGTGATTTACAGCTGTGCAAACAGTCTTAGTCCCGGTTTAGCTTAAGGAAGTTTCCTCGATCTTCTGACCTCACAGCAGACCCGTGTAATCTGAGTGTGTTTCCCAAATCTACATGGAGAGACTTTTCAGGAATTTCAGCTTCCAATCATGTACATGGGTGATTATTAAATGGTAATAAATACAGGTTTTCCTACATTTGTCATGGGCTCTTTTTTTCTTCAGAACATTATGTAAATATGGCAAGTGTTCAAACAATAGTAAACAAGCAGTATGTTGTCATACATGACTTTTACACAAGACGTTTGCTTAGATGTTTATTAAAAACTGGTTGAAAAGTTTATCAGATAGCTGATAATGCAAAACTAGTTCACTGGGAAATTAGAAATATAAATGTTTAGAGCCAAAGAACTTAATACAGCCAAATCACAGACTTCAAATAATAGAACCTGATGTTAAAATAAAAGTCAAAATGTTCTCCAATTCAAGTTTCAAAATGTAAAAATCCCATTTATTTTTGCCTTTTAAAGACAATTGTTTAAATCATTACAGATTTCAGAAGCTCTACAAATGGAAAATGATTATATTGGTTAACACGCTGTTAATTTATGACACATTCTTAGACATGGATGTATGATTCTAAAAAAGCTTTTTTTTAGATGCCACAAAATATTAGAAGAGGAGTGTAGTTTTAACAGTGTCACACATTTAATTGTGTGATCTTGACAAGGTTCGCCAAAGGGTTTTTTTAAAAACAAGGCAATAAAGCAAAAGTAAATTTGGCACATTAAACTGATCGAAAGTGGAAGTAAAACATTTGTTACAAAAGATTTATATTTCAACTAAACTGTTATTTTCAACTCTATTCATCAAAGAATCTGAAAAAAATGTATCACGGTTTCCACAAAAGTTCTGTTTACCTCCAACATAAGAACTGCAACACAACTGATAAACTTTTTTAAAAAGTATGTTTTATTTTGCTTGTGCCTTGAATAAAACATCTTTGACATGAGAGAAATAGAGAAAACAGTTCAGGTGTATTTACATATGCATAATGTCTGGCATAAAAATGAATACAGAGAGAAAAATACCAGCAAAATATATTACAATAAAATGATGGAATGTTCTTTTCTCCAAGCAAAACGAGAAGAGTGCGAGTCATCCAGAGCCAATCTCCTGTTTCTCAAGTTGGGTTACAAAAGTTTCATCCTACGGTACATTTTAGCTAATTGTGGAAGCACATTTAACTTAAATGATATGACAATTTACCCATAATGCAAGCTGACAGGAGAACAGTGGCTGTCTGATGTTACATCTAGAAAAACACACTGCTTCCTCGTCACACGTCAAAACACTGATAAAAGCCATTGAGATCATGGGGCTAAAAACAACTGAAGCAGAATAAAATCAGTAGCAACATGTTAAGAGCAAGTGGAAGTAAAACACACAATAAACATTGTCTGTCCAGTCCAAAACAACCAGGGAATATCAAGATTCAAATCAAAATGTGTTATGATATACTAAATATATTTGATGATAATGTTATGGAGCTATATTGGGTTTTCCAATGCTATAAATATTCAATGGTTAACATTAAAACATTTCAGCAAAGCACTCCATGTTCACATTATAAAGGAAGTTGAAATGGCTCTTAGTGCTGAACTGGTTTGATGTTCAGAGAAACTGGATCAGAATGAATCAATGAAACTTCCTCTGCATATTGCCAGAGTGTGTGTGTGTGTCATATCAGTGTGTAGTGCAGAAACATTCGATTCAGATGAAACGTTACCCTGCAAAACTGCACCCAGATCAATAACAGAAGGTTTCAGTCTCTCAGTATGAAGTCGCACACTCCGCTTCTTCACCACTGACACTTAAACACCTGCACAAAAACTACATGACCATCTCTGGTTCAAGCTTCACCTCAATCTCATCTGATTTCCTTCTGTGAGGGAAATAATGTGAAAGACGGCTGTCACATCAGCAAAAAACAGTGTGCCGAGTGACATAACTAAAATCATTTGAATTCTGTCCAATTAAAATCCCTGAAGTGGTACGAAGGCTCTATTATTAAAAGAGTTTGTTCTTAGAAAAGCGAAGCATCTCTTTCTTCACTCTGATGAATGGGTTGTGCTTGTGAAACGACGGTGTTTGGGATGGCTGTGTGTCATAGACGTCTCGATCGATCCTTTTTCTGGAACATCTTCTGGCTTATTGAGAGACACACTCCTTCACTCTTCTCTACTTCCATCAAGCACTTCCTGAAGAGGAAGAAAGAAGTAAAGGCTGTCGACACATCAAAATAATCAATCACGAATGAATCGGTCCAACTAGCATTAGCTGCAGGATTTAAAATGAACAGCTAAATGTTCAATCTGTAGTCATACGGTCAACTCTAAAGGCACATTTTCCTGTTTTTTGGAGTTTGACAGACATTCAACTGTCATATGGAAAAGGCTGCGTTCCACAGAAATAATAAGAGAATACAAGCACGTATCATAACGTAGTCTTACCGTCGTCTCCATTGGTGAGCACCAGCGCCTGTAAGATATCAGACAGAGACACGATGCCTTTCACAACCTCCTGCTCATCCACGATCACTAACCTGTGAACCTGAAAATCATGTTTACATGATCAGAAATTGAGTTACAGTCTTCATCTGCCCAGCCAAGTATTCATGGCAAAATGCACAGCTGAAGGTTTCATTTATCAAAACAATCGGTAACAATTTAGTATAGGGACCAATTCTCACTATTAACTAGTTGCTTGTTAGCATGCCATTTATTAACATATTAGCACTTTTAAAGAACATATTCTGCATGACCATATTCTACATCCTAATCCTACCCAATACCTAAACTTAACAACTACCTTACTAACTATTAATAAGCAGCAAATTAGGAGATTGAGGCAAAAGTCGTAGTTAAAGGTTTGTTAACAGCAAGAATTAGATCTTAAAATAAAGTGTGACCAAACAATCTGAAAACATACGTGTATGTATGTGTGTATAAATATATACTATAATGTTACAAAAGATAAATGATGTTCTTTTGAACTCTCTATTCATCAACTTTTGATTCTATTCTGAACAGAATATCTATATATTCAGGTGTGTGTTCCTCACCTCGGCCTCCACTAGTCGGCTGATAATGGCTTCTAGTGTCTCACTGGCTCGGCAGGTGAGCACACCCTCAAAATACTGCGAGCGATGCTGGAGGGCTTTAGTCACAGTGATGTCCAGGTTATTGTATGTCTTCTCAGCTGCCAGATTCTGTGTGATGCCATGAAAACCAGATTGAAACAAACATATGCAGAGAGATCCAACAAAGAGACTTACACACACGTTATTCAACTAAATGTGTGCCTTATTCATTTTGAAAATATGTTGTTGAATAGTTTACCCAAAAATGTAAATATCTATCCATAATGTTGCTTTCTCTAGTGAGCTGTCTTGTTTGAACCAGGAGAGAAATATGCACAGATCAAGCACAAGCCAAAACAGTTCTAAACTAATATGTGGGTGGATTTTGATGTGAGAGGACAACAAGAGACGGACATTTTCCACTGGAAGCGTTTTTATGAATTACGGACTCGTATTTTGGCAACGGAAGCAACAGTTTGAAGATAAAAACGTCTTGATGGATTTGTTTTTTTTACAAACACACAGCTTTTGGCTTCACAAGACATTAACTGATGGACTGGAGTGGTGTGGGTTACTTGTGAATTATTGTGATGTATTTATCAGCTGTTTGGACTCTCATTCTGACGGCACCCATTCACTGCAGAGCATCCACTGCTGAACAAGTGATGCAATGCTACATTTCTCCAAATCTGATGAAGAAACAAACTCATCTACATCTTGGATCAGAATTTTCATTTTTGGGTGAACTATTCCTTTAAGATTTTAAATTAAGTACATAATGTAAAAAAAAAAAAAAACAAAGATCATGAACTGTAGTGGCTGCATTCACTCAAGCTGATCAATACAACAAACACCAGAGGCTTTAAACACACACCAAGTCCAATCAAAACAGAAACACCATCACACACACATTCAATGATCTAACTCCACCAGCACAGCTCAATGTCCACCGCTCAAGTTAGAAACAACAAACACACAAGATGTCCTGCATCTTCAGTAAACAAGCTACAGATAGTCCAAAATACAGCGGCTAGAGTCCTTACCAGGTCAAGAAAATATGATCATATTACCCCAATTTTACAGTCTCTGCACTGGCTACCTATTAAGTTCCGTATCAGTTACAGAATATTATTACTTGCCAATAAAGCACTTAAGGTAGAAGACTACCTAACTAGTCTTCTACCACGCTACAATCCATCACGCTCTCTAAGGTCACAAAACTCTGGACTTTTGTTAGAACCTAGGATAGCAAAGTCCACTAAAGGAGGTAGAGCTTTTTCGCATTTGGATCCCAAACTCTGGAATAGCCTTCCTGATAACGTTCGGGGTTCAGACACACTCTCTCTGTTTAAATCTAGATTAAAGACACATCTCTTTGGCCAAGCATTCAAATAATGCATCTCATAATATTTTACTGCAGTCATAATCTTTTACTGCAGTTATATCTAATCAAATGCACATTATTATTCATTAGTTTGGGTTAAACAAATCATTTTTGCTTGGTTGGAACAGCAGCTACACTAATTATGTTTGTATTTGTTTCTCTGTCGTTTGCCACGGGATTAACATCCCGTGGTAACTAGGATTCACACAAGCTTCAGTCTGGATCCAGAACACCTGAGAAGAGATGATGCAACCCCTCAGAGGACCTCAGATGATGCCAACCCTGAAACAACATACAGAACTACCACATTTTGCTATAAGTTTGATTGCATCATATAATAATTGCTGTTAATAGCGTTCATCGTCTGTTTGATTACGTCTTTAATCGATTTTTCCGTACATTTCTGCCATATGAACATTAATTGACAGTTACCACTGATAAGCTACCACTAAATATTGTAGAAACTTAATTTGCTGTAAAGTTGCTTTGCAATGATTTGTATCGTGAAAAGCGCTGTACAAATAAACTTGACTTGACTTACTATAACATCAAACTTGGAGTAGATGTCAACCACATGCCCTGTCAGAATAAACGAGAGGGAGAAACCATGAAAATACATCCAATGAGGAGGGAGAAAAAAATCAATGTAATTTATAATATAATTAAAAACATTAATTTCCACTCACCATTTTCATCAACCACAGGAAGGGCAGAAACTCTCTGATCCACGAAGATGCCGAGCGCGGCGTAGAGCGGCGTATCCGAGTGAACCACTGCGATGTTGTGAAACGTCCCGATGTTCAACTCCTCCAGAGTTTGAGACAGAAACCCAGGCTTGGGCATCTCAGATATCTGGGAGAGAACAATAACTTAAACATGAAGATAGTGTTTCTAGAAAGAAAACAATATTCCAAGTTGTGCCAATAGAAGAGTAAAGGGGAAATTTAGCAATAATTGCTTAAAAAGTTGTGACAGAATTACAGTAACCACTCTGTGACACACCATTACCAAATAAATGACTGTCTATACTTAATTGAATGAAGCCCAGGAAACATTCAGTGAGTATTTACAGGGCAGGAAACTTACAAAGAGTTTCAGGAATTTGAGGATCCTCTTGTGTGTCAGGATGTAGAGTGTGTTTCCGGTTAGAGGATCAATGACGGGTAATCTGTGGATCTTATGCTTCAGTAGAGATGAAACTGCATCATATAAGCTGAGACAGAGAGAAAAACATCAGACGTCATCGCAACTCTCCAACAAAACCCATTCAATCTGCACTCTTACAAACTCTTACCTGGCATTGGGCGATATGCTGACGAGAGGTTTGAAGGAATCTTGTAAGTAGACCTCTATAAGAAAATGAACAGATCAGTCATAGGCTGACATATCAGAGAGTAAACATCATGAACATCATTCCCACCTCTCCATGTTTCTATTTTGTGCTCTTCTAACTCATATATCTGCACCTAAAACACACAAAAGCATGAACTCTTTAAACATTCATCAGAAAACCTGATTAAAAACTTCAATGGAAAAAGCAGACTTACCAGAGGAGACTTGTAATAGCGATGAAGTATATTGATGAAATCTGTGATGGTCAGCATACCTAAAATAGAAAATGCAGCTGTCCCTTTAAAACCGAATGCACAGCTGCAATGGATGCAATGTACTAATACACGTTCTCCTTGCTGTTTACGCTCACTTAAGACGTAATCAAAGGTGTTTACGTGAACACGTGCAGCAAGTGTATGTTAGCTTATGTCCCGCCGGTTCATATGTGCGCATCTAACCTCCGAACCACGCAGCAGATTCCTTCTGAATGAATCTCTTCCCAAATTGTCCCTCCCTAACATCTTCGTCTCGTTTTTATTCATTGACGAAAATGTCAATAGATTTACATCATAGTTTTTGTCGTTCAAAAATAGTTTTAGTTCATTATTGTCGTATGCGAAAAAAATGTTGACGACGAAAATTATTCGTCATGAAATTAACACTGATATATACACACATATACTGTATATATATATATATATATATATTGTATAGTCACAAATAATAACAATAAATTAAAATTTACCAAAAAAAAAAGTTTGCTTACCAACAAAGCATTGCTTCGTGCTGTCCCAGAGAGGCGCTGCTCTCACCCCATTAGACACTAGAGCAAAGAACGCCTTCTTCACCTGGTAACCATACAATCATAAATTAAGCAGCAGGCACTCAAACAGCTTAAATGTCATGATTGTTGACACAAAGTACAGAGCAAATATATCCAACCCCTAAAGTCAACATGAAATCAATACTGACCACATTTCTTCATGCATGTGCCTGGTCCTAATATCAATTACTCATATCATTCCAAATATTGTGGGTGTGTGTTTATCAAAATGTAATACTGTGTTCTTTCTCTTAAACAATTTACCTTTCCTGCTAACATCACTTGTTATATAAATAATGTTTAAAAAATAGTCAAAATGCTATTTAGCCATGGTTTTAGCAAATGCACATTCAGTCTAGCTTTATTATGGAGTGGAACGGACACTTTACATATCTAATTAATTATAGGAATGGTTCATCCAAACATGAAAATGTCCTCACCTTCAGGCCATCCAAGATGTAGATGAGTTTGTTTCTTCGTGGGATCAGATTTGGAGAAATGTAGCATTGCATCATTTGCTCACCAATGGATCCTCTGCAGTGAATGGGTGCCGTCAGAATGAGAGTCCAAACAGCTGATGATATCTTGATTGACTTGTTTCTTACAAACATGCAGCTTTTGGTTTTATGAGATGTTAACTGATGGACTGGAGTGGTGTGGATTATTGTGATGTTTTTATCAGCTGTTTGGACTCTCGTTCTGACGGCACCCATTCACTGCAGAGCATACATTGCTGAGACACTGATGCAATGCTACATTTCTCCAAATCTGTTCCAATGAAGAAACAAACTCATCTACATATTGGATGACCTGAGGGTGAGCACATTTTCATCAAGCTTTCATTTTTGGGTGAACAGTTGCTTTAATAATAAGTAAAATCAAGTTTGCCTTTTTTCACACAGAAATGTGAAAATATTATGGAAATGCATGGGTTGTAATCAAGGTTGCACAAGTAACAACATTTGTTTTCTTCCGAGTACCCACCTGTAGAGAAGTGTCGAAAACCACCAACTTTGAGCTGGTGGGCACCAGGTCATAGCAGCGGTGGGACTTCATGAAGCGGGTGTACACATTATACTCAGGATCTGGTTTGAAAGAGAGGGAAAAACCAAACCTGAAAAAAAGTATAGTCTAAAACATGAAATCACGAGCATTAAAAACAACCAATGAAAATATGAGAGAAAACGTGTCAGAGAACAAAGTGTCACAGGATACTTTTGCTGTCACTTTAGTCTCAGATTTCACTCCAAACACTGAAGTCAAAGCCCTGCTCGGCTCTGCTTTCATACCTCGCACATGAGCTGCAGGTGATCGCAGGACTACAGTATCATCTTTATTTATTCACATTCTTACCCTCTATGTGCGCCTCCTTTTTACCATCCAACTCATCTAGAACAGCAGGAACCTGAAAAACAGATGTCAATGTGTGAACAAAGCTCGTTTTTGTTTTTTTACTTAAAAATGTTAACCCTGTAAATCCTGACAAATGAATTAATTGTTTTTTAAAAAATCACATTTTTAAAGAGAAGTTTATTGAACCTTTAGACAACATGTAACAAAACTCCTCAAAAGCCTGATGATCATATTTGATGCTAACAGATTTTTCAAAGAAATTATGCATGTACTGTATACTCAAGCGAAGTTGCTTCGGTCCGGTAAGTGTTCATTTTGAAATGGCAGTATCAACGTTATTTTTATGCTTACTATATAAAAATCAGTAAAGATTTCACAGCAAAAAGACACTGAACAACCTGAAGCTGGACTTTGTACAATGATACTAAAAGGCCTTTTCCTTGCTAAAAAAAAAAAAAAGTATAAACTATCAATCAGACGACAGAAGGCATGTAGTAGATTTAGTTTTTTTGATCATGTTGATCATTTAGAGGCCTCTAAAAATTGTATATCAAATATAACACAGTAGAGTTAGGAGAGAGTTAACAATAAGTTAAATCCGAGTTGTTATTCTAAACTGACCAAAGGCTAGAATGTGTCTAGTAAATACATATTAGCCAGACGAGTTAACAGCAGGACAGTTCTGCTTGCGTTAACCCTCCTGTTCTGTGCACATTTCAACCATGTTTTTAATGCGTGTGGTCAAACTGAGCCCAAATACTCAATATGTCAATAAATTACTCAAATTGATAATATAATTTATTTTTATTTACCGGTACACTTTACACTTTACCTACCCGATATTTTAAATACATTTTTAGGACAAAACATAACTTTTAGTTTTTTATATATTTTATTTATTTATTTGCTTCATTTACAAAAAAAACCCCATTGTTCTCAGTTTCTGAGATTTGCTGCTTTCACAGAGAATGAGTCAATGTCTCTATGAGGAAAACAGCTCGTTTTATGTTTTTGCAAATGTAAAAATGCAGAAAGCTTTGTGTGAGGAGTAGGGTTTGGGGAATGAAAACACAGTTAGTACAGTATAACAATTATTATGGAAATATTCTCCATATAATATAGAACAATACTTTTTGACAGATGCTTGTACAAATGTGTGTACAGTGTTTGCGAGCACATTATTGTATGAAATAGTATAAAGGTATATGAAACTCTGAAAAGGACAAAATTTGGCTTTCATATGCAGAACAACAATAATAAAATGTAAACTTAAGTCAAGGCATAAATGATATTTACTCAGATATTTTGTCATGAGAGGCAATCATGAGAGAGATAAAACCCAACAGATATTTATTCTGCATTTAATGTTTACTCCTTTTTCTTTTTTTTTCACCAAAAACAAAAGTGAAGGGTTCAAAATGACAGCAGACATCTCCTAATGGGTCAAAATGTGCACCGCCACTTTAAAACCCCAATCTTTGTAACCCAAGATTCATGTTTATGAACGCGTCTAATACATTTAGCAAAAGTATATATATTTTTTTTTTTAAGTCAAAGTTGCTTTTTGACCCCAGACATCACAGGAGGGTTAAGGTATTCAGGTTCTTATACATTAATACACTCTTCTTGTTTTTACTCCATAGCTTCAGAGCTCGAGCTGTATGTTCCTCTGAGAGCAATAACTGAGAAAGCTGACAGAACTTAGCTCCAATATTATGTTAAGATAAACACTGATAATAAGATAAACACAGCAGAAAATACAGCACTACTAGTGTAACAGAAAACGGACACCATACTAGAGTAACAAGAGCAAACTAACGAAGTAGTTACTAACTTAGAGTAGCAGCAGTAAATCTGAGCGATATTATAGTAATAATAATAAACTCAGTGCTAGTTTAACTGCCCTAAACTAGCAGCACAGCACTAACGCAACTATAACTGGCTTCATATGAATGGAAAATACTACACGACACATGCAGGAGCCCTACTAATAACACTTAGGCTCTATCTCAACATTTTTACCGATATTAGTTATTTCGCATATTTGAACACAGTGATAGATAAACAAACAAACAAACAAACCGCCGCTAGTTTAATTTCTCTCGTCTGTCAGATCAACTGTCTCAGTTTAAACTCGCTCTACTTACACACTCCATGATCCATTCACGGTCTGAAGACGCCGGTGCTGTTTACTTCAGATTCGGAGTGCGCAAATGTACTTTAATTCGGTCCCCGAGAGCTAAAATGATGTTTAATTCGCTGAGGGTCCGGCGACTCGCTCGCTTCGAGGATGAGGAAGACCGCCGCGGAGGCCGCGACCGGATGTGACGCCACACACGTCTGCGCGCGTCTCCATAATAACAACAACACACTTTATTTTATTTATTTATTTTTTATGTAATTTTTATATTCATAATGTCATCCAATGTTACATTAATTGTTGAATGTTGTTTACACTTGCAATAAAAATTATTAATAATAATAATAATAATAACAACACACCGATTGTCTTACGCTATGCTCTGTTTGTTATTTGCTCTATTTTCATTAATAAAAAAAATAAATAATAATAATAACAACAACTTTCTGGACTTTTATAAAGCGTTCGATACAACTGAACATGAATTCTTATTTAAAACTATAACGCTTTTTGGATTCGGAAATACATTTTTGAATGTAGTTGAAATGTTTTACAGTGATATGAATAGTTTTTCTTTAAAGGATACTATTGTGTACTATGAAAACAATGATAACAAAGGTCTTGAATACATTGTTAATTTATTCATATTGCTGGCAAAATTTTATATACATAAACAAAAATGCTTAAATTCATCCCCAATATTTAAGGTATTTTTAGTGGAATTTGATTGTTTTATATCATCTCTGAAATTGTTAACAAACAAAAAGTCATTAACATGTCTAAAATATTATGACATTATTTTCAGCTCCCGTTACTAATTAATGTCACACTTTGTATAGCACTGACTGCCTTATGCTAAGCTCTGTTTGTTATTTGTTCTATTTTCATTAATAAATAATAAAAATAATAATAATATTAATAACAACAACATTAAATTCCTTTGTAAATGCTTAGGCATGAAAGTTTACTTTTCTGAAAAAGATGTATTTTTTATTTTAATAGACAAAGATTACCACCAAATGTGGCCTTTATTGTTCATCTTTGTTTGATTATGGGCAAATGCCATATACATAAACAGAAATGGGCTAAAGGAAAACCCAACTTTTTGTTATTTCAGATAGATATGAAAAATTATATTGAGTTACTACTTGGGTTGAAAAACAGTAAAGCAAAACGCACCTGGTCTCTTTGTGAAGCTTTTCTGTTATTTATATGATGATCTCATACCTGTTCTTTTTTCTGTTTAGTTTTTTTTTATTATTATTATTATTTATTTTTTTTACCTGCATTATTATTTATATAATACTGTATATTTTCTATTTCTTTTTTGTAGTTTATATTTGTTCAGTACCTTTATATTATATGTTGGAAATAAAACAAAACAAAACAATAAACAATAAATAATCAGTCCTGCTAATAAACTGTTTTTACATTAAATTAAATAGTAATTATATAACAACACAATTGTGTCTTTGAGCTCAGCTCATGAAAAATGAGGGCAAAAACAAAAGTGTTGCTTTTATAATTTTGTTCAGTATATATAAAATCAATCAATGGCAATAACGGTTATTAAACCTAACTAGTAAACTAGTAAATATATATATATATATACTGTATATAGCAAGTTGTCAATTAAAATGGTCTTGAAGTTTATCAACACATATTTGCAGAAAAGTTTCTCTGAAGTTTTTGTGGATTTATTCAATACATTTCTAAATCTTCCAGTCAGATGAAATCTTATATCTGCTCTTGATTTTCAGATCTTTAATGAGCTGGTTATTTTGGACTGATCACACATGTTTGTCCTGTTTTTAGGTGTTTGGGCAAACGCCTCTCTACATGCTCAAAGAGAACAAGTGGTTAATGTGGCCAAATGTGACCTTTGCTCAGGTAGAATATTAACCAGGGTACAATAGCTGTTGGCCAAAACATTTAATATCTGTAAATATATTTACTGTCGGGTAAACACTGGAGCATTTCTTAAATGGTTAGAGACGCATCAGATCAACAAACTGAGCTCTATTCTCTGCACAGAGATTCTCGACTTTGTATCCTCTAAATCCACAGCTAATCTTACACATAATCTCACATGACAATTTTTTGTGGATATATTATCTCTTCTTTATGTCTGGTGTGTTTCGCATTAAAGGAATAGTTCACCTACACTCTTAAAAATAAAGGTGCTTCACGATGCCATAGAAGAACCTTGTTGTCTAAATGGTTCCATAAAGAACCTTTAACATCTGAAGAACCTTTCTGTTTCACAAAAGCTTCTTTGTGGCGAAAGAAGGTTCTTCAGATTACAAAAAGTTAAGAAAGAGATGGTTCTTTAAAGAACCTTTGACTGAATGCTTCTTTGTGGAACCAAAAATGGTTCTTCTATGGCATCGCTGTGAAGAACCTTTTGAAGCACCTTTATTTTTAAGTGTGTAAAAATGAAAATTTGATGAAAATGTCCTCACCCCTTCAACATCTGAAGAACCTTTCTGTTTCACAAAAGCTTCTTTGTGGCGAAAGAAGGTTCTTCAGATTACAAAAAGTTAAGAAAGAGATGGTTCTTTAAAGAACCTTTGACTGAATGCTTCTTTGTGGAACCAGAAATGGTTCTTCTATGGCATCGCTTGAAGAACCTTTTGAAGCACCTTTATTTTTAAGAGTGTAAAAATGAAAATTTGATGAAAATGTCCTCTCTCTCAGGTCATCCAAAATGTAGGTGAGTTTGTTTCTTCATCAGATTTGGAGAAATGTAGCATTGCATCACTTCCTCAGCAATGGATGCTCTGCAGTGAATGGGTGCCGTCAGAATGAGAGTCCAAACAGCTGATAAAAACATCACAATAATCCACAAGTAGTCCACAGCACTCCAGTCCATCAGTTAACATCTGGAGAATTGAAAATCTGCATATTTGTAATAAACAAATCCATAATTTTTAACTTCAAACCGTTGCTTCTGGCCAAAATACGAGTCCTCTATCCACAAATCTGGTTTCTCCAGGGAGAAAGTCATCTAATCTGAATCAGGAAAGAAATCTGCACAGATCAAGAACCGTTTATGAGAGAAAACAGTCCAAAACAGTTCAACAAATATGTGGATTTTAATGTGAGAAACAACAGGGGATGGACTTTTTCACTGGATGAAGCGTGATTTTGGATTATGGGCTTGCATTTTAGCTGGACAAAAGTCATACAGGATAGGAGTAATTAATAACCGAAGCCTCTTTTTTGGGTGAACGAACCTTTTAAATCTTTGGTGTTCTCACTGCTGCCTCTAGATGACAGTGTAACATTAGCAGAGTCTCCATTAGTTCTGCTGAAGCCACACATCTGCTCTTTTCATGTGATTAAACAAGAGCATGTGAATTTAAGATGTGCACATACGTGATTAACATGTGAAATTGAATGTGAGGGATGGAAAAGACTGAACACATTTCAGAAGTGCAAAATAAAAATATATTTTTAGATGAATTGGTTCGACATGTTCAGAGGTGTTTGTGTGCATCTCTGCTTCTTTTTATTTTTTCACAAAACTGTTCCCTTGCCCATCACTCAATATATGTTGACACCATCACATAGATATTATGTCATAAAATATTATGTCACATATTTATCTAAATATGAACAAATCTGAACATACAGGATGCGTTTAACTGATTTTCACTTCAATCAACTATCTCATGTTGCCAGCTGACAACGTTGAGAAAATATATACCAAAAACATATTTTGCACATTAAAAACCATTTTGTTGTTCTGGTGTTAAAACAACCTATACTCAAAAACAAAAACAAAATCCTAAACAATTTTCTTAACAATTTGTGATGAAGAAAATAGCAAATGACAAAAAATCTGAGCACAATTACATTATAAATATCACCAATATCATAAAGAATAATTAAATAAATTACCAGTATACCTGTGTGATCTTGCTGATCTCATAGCTTTTGAAAAATGGAAAAAGGTAAAGAAAAGAAGACCATCGTTAAAAAATGATATTTTTTCAAATAATGAAGGGTAAAATTTGGCCCATTTGAAAAGAAATGAATGCAGTTTAGTACTGATCATTCCCTCTATTGTACAGAAATCATGATTACATCTACAACATGTTCCTTTATATTAAAAATGAGGTAGCAGCCTTTAATTACTTACCATGAACTTTCTTTATTGTATAAAAATATAATATCATATTAGTATGCAGGGCAATGTTTTACATATCAAAAAATTAATTTACACTGGTAATTTGAATTCAACTTTCTGTAAGGCGGGATAAGTAGGACAGGTCAGTGGAGGATCGTGTGTGTGTGTGTGTGTGTGTGGAGGTTCATTCTGAAATTACTCTATTGTGAAACACTACAAAAGCAATTATAATGAAGTGAGAGTGTTTTCTGTCCTTCACCGTCAGTGACACTGCGGCTCTGCACGGAGGAGAAAACAATGAAAGAACATATGCAGGCCATATTTCATGCCAAAATCAAAATTACTACATGTATTATTCATATTTTGCTTAAACATAATTTAATGGGTAAATCTCATCATTCGCATTCATGTAACATGAAAAACGTGCAGATTGAACATTATTTACATTTACATTTAGTCATTTAGCAGACGCTTTTATCCAAAGCGACTTACAATTGGGGGATACATAAAGCGATTCTTCTTAAAGAGGCAAACAGACACAAGAAGTGGTTGTAATACCAAGTTCTTAGACATTGTTCAAATAAGTACAAGCTAGAAAGAGAAAAAATAAATAAAGAGAGAGACTTTTTATTTATTTATTTATTTATTTTTTTTATGATGAAGTCAAGTAGCTTCGAAAGAGATGAGTTTTCAGCTGTCGCTTGAAAATTGTCAGGGATTCAGCATTCCGGATAGGGGTGGGAAGATCGTTCCAGCAGCCAGGAGTGGTGAAATACTATTTAAAATGTATTTATACAACATAGCAGTATTTGTTTTATGCTGATTGACATAAAAAATTGACAGAATGATTCAAATATTCATATACCATGAAAGTTAACAGAATTCATCACTGGAGCAAATTTAGTATTTCAGAATTACATGTGTTTGAATATTGAATTCAACATTTAATAACCAGAAATGACATACATTTCAATAGGTCACATACTTTGCTATCTTGCCTATATGTCGTTTGTTTAATATGATTGTTCTGATATGTTAATTGTTGAATAAATAAATTATAT